TGACCGGCGGCGCGACGCGTTCAACAGGTCGAGCAAAACTAAGTCTTGCACTGCAGCAGCCAGCAGAATGCTCTCTTTAAGAATGCAGAAGCAAAGGCAAAGAATCAAAAATCATAACTGTAAATCAGCTCTCGCGCTTTCCATATGTGCACTGTTGCCAATTTGGCTTTTTAGCCGTCAAATCTGGTCGTTTTTGAAACCAAATTGCGGGAAAGCGGGAATTCTAGCATTTTAAAAATAGATTTACCTTTTTTATCATTTTTTTAATCTTCATTGTAAGGTGCGCATAATTTGTAAAAGTGTGAATGCATTCATGTAGAAAGAAGAATATAATCTTTCACATATTGTGGAATTCTATGTACTTATTTTGTTTCGCTGAAATGGATTTCATTTCTGCATAACCTTACTTTTAAGCTATTGCTCTCTATCGTGGAGCAAATGATAAAACTGCGTTGCGAAAATCAAAGGGAGGGGAGGGATTGGAATACCGAATACGCGCAGAAAAATGCGAGGCGCATATTAAACACTCATAAAAATCAGGATATTTGTGCGAGGATACATGTTTTGGTGTCCGGGGCGCTGGCACTGCTGGAGAGAGAGAACTAAGGCGTTATTGTGCATTGTTGTTGGCACTTTTATGAGGTGCTGGCTGGCTGGATGGCTGGATGGCTGGCTGGCTGGCCTCCTGCTGTTGTTGCAGCGTCGAGCGTGACGCGATATTAAAAACTTGTTGCTAATAAAAGATGAGACGGCTGCTGTCGATGCTGATGTTCATGACGATGATGATGACATCAATGATGATGACATTTGTTGCGGTTCAATAAATTCGCAAGCGGCTGGAAAAAAAAGGGACGAAGCTACATGCATACAGGCTGTATACTTGTATGAGCCTAAGTAGGCATGATGAGGAGCTGTTGCTCACTGCGCATTTAATTGTTATATTCGTATTCGCAGATGGATGGGGCAATTGTCAGCAGTTGGAACACTCAGCACATTTGTGCCGTCAACGAGGCTTTGGCTTGTTGTTTAGCTAGCCGGATAATCCGGCCGATGCTGCCGAGTTGTTGCTGCTGTTGTTGTTGTTGTTGCTGTTGTTGCCACTGTGCCGTTTTTGATTAAAACACACAAACACACACACACATATACTCGTACTTCATATCGGCGTTTGTGGACAAATTGCCAGCTAGGAGGGGGCGTGGCATGTCGATTTGTCTATAAGCTGCTCGCTTTGCTGCAGCATTTGAAGTGCCAAAAAGCGCACTTTGTCATCGCCTGTGTTTTGCATTTATTTTCATTTTTTTTTTTTGCAGCAGTAGCAGCAGCTTTGAGGATTTATGCTCAGTGGCTTTATTTGCACTAACGCTTAGTTCGCCATTTGGCCATTGTTTTAAGTCAAATATGTACATACATACATACATACATATACATATGTTTGTGTATGTTTGTTGGCGCGATTTTTTTAGTGGCGCCCAATCGGCTTGAACTTTATTTAAGTCGTCGTCTGTTTACTGAACGTTTTGGCCGCTATTGAGGGGCAGGCTTAGGCCACACGGCTCTCGCTTCACTTCCGATTGCTGCTGTGATAATCAAAGCTCACAAAATATCCTACATAATAAATCCTTAATAAATAATAACCTTAACATGAATTCAGAAACTAATATTTTTAATAATTTGTGAGTCAGAAATGGCATTTTAACTTATGTAACATCTAATTATGTAGAGTCTGATAAATTAAAAATTTATATATAAGAATCAATGCATCAATATATTTTAAATAAATTTACCATTTATAATGATAAAGCAATTATTTAATAAGCAGACTACAGTTGTAATCATTATTGTTTGTTACACACGTTGATAATTAAATGTAATTCTTTAGTTTTCTATTTATTTATAAGGTTTTTAAAGTTATTGGTAAAGAAGACAGAACTAGAAACTTTAATAATATTGCCCATATATACTTCAGCCCTATCGCGATAATTCTCATCATTGTTACTTATTTTTGCCATGATAAGAAGTCTTTTTTAAATGTCTTCTTCTCTTTTAACTGTACGATTAGAAGAGTAAGCCCGTGTTTATGTTTAATGATGACGATCAAATTAAACAAATAGTTTGTTTTTTTTATGCTTCGAAGAAATTAGTTATAAAGTTGAGAAACAATGGTTAGTTTTTCCATTAAAAGTTGGCAGGTCCGCATTATGTTGAATAAATACACTTATACCATTGCATTAAGTCCCAAATAGGAGCACTAAGTACTAAACTAACTCGTTAAGTTTAGTAAAGAGTTCCTCCGTCTACAAAAGGCAATCTGCTCGTATATATGTATGCATAAGAAATGTTAGCCTCAAGTACGTGTACTCGTAATAACATAGCAGAGTCCACAACTCGCACCATTCGGGTAAAAACTACTCGTATTATTGCACTGCCTTCTGCTCCTGCCCATCCTGTCAGGCAACAGACAACCACATATACTAACCACCCAACCGCCCAACCACTCAACCAAAAAAAAAAAAGCTTCTGCGCTTTACAACGACTGAGCCGACTTAAGTCCTTTGATTATTTTGCGCGCCCAGCTCTCATTCTATTGCTTTTCGTCCTCCCCTCGAACCTCTGGGTGCGTCTTCTTTGCATTTTTCGGCTTGGGGTTTTTGGCCAGTTTTTTGGTGCAATATATATGCGATATATCTGTATGCGATAGCTTCCTGTTGTGCTACGTGTTGCCGTTGTTATTGTTGTTGTTGTTGCTGTTGCTGTTCTAATGCTGCTAATGTCTCGCACTCGAAAAAAGATTTGCGCTCTACCTACTAAATACTTTTTGTTGTTGTCATACTTGGCTCGCTCTATGCTTTTATATTAAGTTCGCCACGGGAGACTTTAATCTCAGTGCTGGGTGACTGCGACTGCTACTGCTACTGCGACTGCGGTGGCTGCAGGAAAGTCTGTGGTTGCTGCTTAGGACAGGGATGTGCCCAGCCTAGGCAACTGCTCAATGCAAAACAATGAATGAATTCGTGGCATATGTGTCTCAGTGTGTGTCTTCTGTGTGTTAGAGATGGAACTCAGAGCAAATATTGCGTAAATAATTCCCGCTCTAAACCGAATCTACATATTTATATTTTTACTTTTAGAATCGTTAATATTTGAAGATTTACTTTTCCTACTTTTCCTATTGTGTAAAACTATAAAAATGTACTAAACGGGGTGATCTTTTTTCAAGAAGTTAGTCTAATTGACCAGAAAGATGGCAAATATAACATCAGTTTTTAAAAAATATCTCTCTTTGATAGTATGGATTAAATGTTTGATAAAAGCTAAATTTAACAGAGGTATTTAAATATACACCAAAATCATTACTTAAATAACTAATTATTTACATATTGATGGAATTAATTACCTATTCTTAAACAATTGGAGTAAATAGATTTTAAAATTACAATTCAGAAAAAAAATCGTTGAAAAGACATTATGGTTTTTGTTTGAAAAAGCACAAACAAATTGAAACACATCCATAATTAAGGCTTACAGATGCCGGAACATTAAATCATACGATATTGTGGGAAAACAAAAATGTGTAAACTGGAATTTGAGATTTGATTGGCATTGAAGTGATGAATTTTTTTATTCACTTCGAAACGTCTTCGAAACGCCTCAGTAAATAAATTCACAAAAGTTGGCAATTTGTTATTATTAATATTGTTATTTAGAAAATGGAATAATCTTATATCTTGATCTGCCTTATATATAGATGAACAAACACGAAATATTTGTTAATAATATTTGAAGTAAATAAAAGCTCGTTTTGCTGGGCATTTAGATTGAAAATCCTTTTTTATTTCTATTTCTATTGGGGGCTCACGACTCGCTGGCTCATCTCTAATATGTGTCTGTTGGCCTAACGGAAAAATTATTTAATATTACCCGTCTGTGTGCGAGGCAGTGCGATGAGGCGTTGTTTGGTCTAATCCTTGTACGAGCATTAGACATGGAATTTAATTTAGTTGAGCTCAGCTCCCCCCACCCACCAACTCATGCCGGTCCACTTCGTTTTCGCACTGTTCCTTTAGGGCGTATGTGTGCCAAATGCCTCATGCCTCATGCTGGCAAAAATTGTGTGCCGTCGACAAATCTGTCAAACTTACTGCCGACTTTCGGGCGCTTTTAATTCAAATGAAAACCATAGTACAATAGCCGAGCCCAGCCCAGGCCGCTCTCCTGTTTACTTGCATGCACTTCGAGCATACACGTACGTAGTACTAGATGGGGTCTGCAGGATAATCCAACTTTGATTAAGTAATTTCAACGTCAGTTCGTAATAAGTACGTAATAAGTTTGGTGTTGAAATCCAAGTCTCAGCCATTTATTCCCATGTGCCAGTTCCTGTTGTTCGGCTAGCTGTTGGGGGCGTAGCGCTTGGGTTAAAAATTACGTCAATTCTGTGGTGGAACTACCCTAAAAGGCCTAAAGACAATAGATGGTACATGCGAGCACGGTCCTTGTTCTTTGTTTTGATTTTTCAAGCATGTGGAATTGGTGCAATTACAATAATTACAATAATTATGTGCCAAATGTTTATTCATGTGGAGTTTGCATAATTGATTGGAATTTTAATGGTCGCATTACGAAGTCTGAAGTCCGACAATCGGTCATACCCATTAACATAAATGCTTTGAACTTGGCTGGCCTATTTAAAGGGAAAGAGGTTGCTGATTTATTTATTTTGTAAATCAAAGTAGATCTTAAAAAGGGCCCTTGATGTTTTGATCGGAAAACACAAGAACAACAAACACACTTCTCGATTAGCAGAGATGGGAATAAATATATTTGATTTTACCTTTATTAAACATTGGCAATTCAGAGATTTCTAGACCTCCTTTCTGCACTGGTGTTTCGCAATCAATTTGCAAAACTCAGCTGTGTAAGACATTCCGTTTAAATATTGCCAACTGTTTGTTAGTATTCTATTTTTCGAACGATAATTTATTCCTTTTTAATGCACAGTACAAAGGCATTTTGAAATGTACATGCACATACACCCACACCCCCCCAATTCGTACTCGAATGCCTTGGCTAAGAGCCCCACATACCTTTTAACCAGTAGCTAGTAAACGCCAAAATACATTGGAAAATCATAAAGTTCGCATTGTACGATAATCCCAGGAAGAATGTATCGTGTATATCGATGCTGAAGAAGGTCATCACCCGCCTGAACACGGTACTAGAGATGATAGCTATCATGGGCAGTAGACGCTCAATGTGACGCCAAAGAGGTGGTTCCTCCGGACGTTCTCGAATGATGACCAGAGATGGGGCCAAGTGTGCCCGTTCGAAAATTATGTTGTGTATACCGTCACCGACACCATCCAGGACATTGGGAGCTCGTGGTCGGTCGGGTCTATCGAGGCGACGCCAAATTTCCATCTCTGGCACCACGGCGCGGATGAGTCCGCGTTCAGGGTGCCGATCAAGGATATTGATGTTCTGGATGCGTTCATCCAAATTGTTGTGGGGGGCATTGGGTGGCTCTCCCCCAGGATATAGGTATGCATTAACAACTGGCAGTACTTGATCGTTCATATTTAATCTGTGTCTTGCACTGGAATTTTGCTAAACAATTAAGTGGTTCGATACAAGTATGTATATATTTTTTTTGTTACTTATTAAAAAAGTAAACGGAAAGATGTTTCATTGAATTTAAGAACCTAAACGAAATCCTGTGAATTGAGGGGTGTTTTGTGTGATGTAAAAAGCAAAGAACTATTGCTGGTGTCAATTGTTAATTGATTGTTTTTATTTGTAGTATGATTGATTCATAAAATATTAAAAGGCATTAGTACAGCAAATTAACTTTCATTAGCGGCTGTGTTTAGGATACTTGAAATCTTCATTGCTGGTATTTATTTAATTTAGTGAAGCTGTGTAGATCTACCATAATGAATTCTCTTACCCCCAACGCAATTATATGTCTCTGTCTAAGATATTCCGACACCTACATATAGTATGTGTACATAGTATATCTTTGAGTTTTCCAAATGATTTTATAATTTAATGAATCGCCTACAAAGCATGCTTTTTAATGAAGCAAAAAGGCAATTCTTTGAGAGACAGAGAAACAGGGAAACACTATTAAGAGTGAAGGGAATCGCTTAAATGCAAAACTCATTAAAATAATTGCAAAATGCAAAAGTATAACAAACTGACTGAAGGCAAGTCTGTCGGGCGGCACAGCCAACATACACTCATTAAACCAACCATAAATAATTAACAAAACAATTTATTTTCAAGGATATATGCAGGCAGGCAGTGAGCCAGCCAGCCAGCCAGCCAGCCAGTCAGTCAGTCCAGGCTGGCGGCAGCAGGCTCTGTCTATAATTGCGCCGCATTATCCAGTCACAGAGAGAATGCATTTCATGCGCTCTATGAAAACTTCAAAGCTCATTTATGTGCGCTTCCACATCGTCGTCCTCGTCATCATCACAATCATAATCATCCTAATCATCATCGTCATCAGACGGAAGATGAAAAGCCAAAAAACATGTACATACCAGCAAGCAAGCAAACAAACAAACAAACAAACAAGCAGCGGCTAAGAGTCAACAAAACGTGTTTGCTGCAATGATGACGGGGGACGGTGCGGGGTTAAGGCTACTGATGCGCGATATCTGAAAACACTTAAGCCTGCCACCACGCACATGCATATGACGCATACGCAACGTTGGCGCCGTTTGGACTGCGCCCGCAGATGTGTGTATGTATTTGTGTGTGTGTGTGTGTAGTTTGCCAGTCATTAAAAGTAAATAACCTCAAAGCAAGCGTTGTGGCACTTGAACCACGTCAAAGCTGCTGATGGTTTCAGCTAAAAGAAATGCCCCCTGATGTCGTCTCCTCATCAACTCCATCCTCATCCTCATCCACATCGTCATACTCATCGAGTTGGTCGTCATGGTCGTCAAGTGGGTTGCTGGTGGCCAGTAAGCCCACACGTGTGTGCTTGAGTTGTACTTGTTGTTGTTGTTGTGTGCCATTTGTCCGCAAACACTTGTAATTAATTGCGCATGGGTGGCAAAAGTCAGTGGTGCAGTGGCTCGGACTTGGTCAGCTAAAGGTGTGCATGTGGCATATTAATGGCGGCTCCACGTGCGGGATGTTAAAGGTTAAATGGAATAGTCCATGTTTAGCCCGAGCTTTGGATCACGTTGTTATAGCTAAGGAAAAACTCTAGCTATATAATACCTGAAGATATTCGGGTGTTAACTGCTTTGGGATGCAGGGTTTTCTCAAATTCGTGAACAAACCATAAATCATAAATGGTTTTCTACTTAAGTGCATGCTTGTAATTGTTTTCAGGATACCAGGTCTTTGGTTATAAACGTAGATATTAAATGCTTTTAGTATAACTGTCTTTGTTTTAGTCTAAAATTCTTAGCTATTTAATATTGAACGGACAAAGCATATATTCTGAAAGATATACTTGTATGTTGGATTAAATAAATTATAATACTTGGAATAAAATCTTTAGTAATGCACTTTAAAAAGCTTTTAACCAATATGATCTTTTTTTACCCATTTAAATTTGATTGTTTAAGACTAGATGAGCTTTGTAATAACTGCGACATTGAGTGCCATTTCTAGTTAATTACTGGTAATCTTTTGCTATAAAATTCCAAAAGTTCAGATAAAGCTCCATTAATTCGAAGTATTTTTCATGCTGATATCAAAAGAAACATTCCATTGTATTGGAATATATTTTTCGAACTCTTTCGGCTTTTTTCTATCACCTCTCATCTTGGCTGATTATTAATACAAATGATATTTATTTGTAATGTTTAAAGTTTTTGTTAATATTTTTTTGCTGATAAAATTCAAGATCAGCTTCTTTCAAATCTGTACACAACTTTTCGTTTTCATATAATAGTTATTAATCCAATCTTATTCCACATTTTTGTAGTTATATAAATAATTATAAACTAAAATCAAGTGCAGCGATTAGATAGAATTTGATTAAAAACTTTCCCACTACAACAATATCTATGCAGGCTTTGTTTTTGTAACGATCTAATGCATCGGCTTAGCTTTCTTCATCTTAGCTCTCTTACTTCCACAAAACTCAATTATATACGAACAGACTCCAGACAGGGCTATAAATATGCCCGCACAGTAGAAGGAGTCATCCCACCTGAGCGTATACTCATAAATGGCGCCTGCTGCGGGTGGCCCAGTAATCATTCCAACGCCTTGCACCAGGAGTATTAATCCATAGGCACAGGTGAAGTCCTCCAGATCAACAATAATGACCAGAATGCTGGGTGTAAAGGAAATGGAACTGGCAAAGGTGAATCCAAATAGGATGCACATGGCCATTAGGCCACTATAGTTGGTCAGCAAGATCGGCATGAGGAATACAGAAAGACCACAGCCGAGCATGCACAAGGAGTAGCATATGTTGATGTTCATCCAAGAGAGATCGCCCAAGTAGCCCAAGCCAATCATGCCTATGGTCTGGGCGATGCCGATGGCCGAAATCATAGCCGCACTCACACTGACCTCATAGCCGTGCTGCTTCATGTACTCGGGCAAGTAAAGATAGGGTATAATGAACCAGGTATACAAGAGCAAGGTCGATAAACTGAAGAGCGCAAATTTCAGATCCAAAAAGAGCGAGAAATCAAAAATAGATTTGATGGTGTCCATGAGACCATAATACCAGTAGGTACTATCATCTAACTTAGGTTTATCTGTGCCGATCGTTGACTTGTGGTAGATGTTTGGACAAGAGGAGGTGCGAAGGCAGTTGCGAGGTTGAGGATGCAAGTTGGAGCTATTTGTTGAAATGGCGTGCCTCAGCTTGGAGCGATTTGCGTTACTCCTAGACTTCCAAACCAGCTCAGGGATGCGAATCAAGGTAGAACCTCCTAGCAGCAAAAAAGTCTCTTCTTTATTGGATATGTCTAACGCATTGCAGCGCAAGTGGCTGACCTCCTTATGAGAATGGAATATATGGTTGGATCTAAGGAACTGCTTTCCCTCTCTGTGCGCCTGGGTGAAGTAGCTTTCCACAGAAGCGCCCACACGTGGTGGCAGTGAGTTGGAATGACTCCTTGGGATTTCCCAAAATAGTGATGTCGATGATATAGATGACAGATTTGTATTCGACGATGCTTTAAAGCCCACACTTTGTTGATTCTTAGGGTCATGCAGCCAGATCTCGCTGTGGTAGAGTTTAGGGCTCAAGCCCAGCGAAGCCACCTCTTGTTGGTTAGCCGTAGTTAGTAAGCTTTCCAGTAAAGTGCTTTTCGTAACACTCACTCCGCATTTTGTTTTCTTTCGGCGATTTTCTTCGATGAGCCAGTTCGGATCACGCATCAGGGCGCCACAAACGCACATATTAAACGTCGTAGCACCAATTATGAGTGTGGCGCCTCGCCAGCCATATGCATCGATGAGGTACTGCGTCAGGGGCGCATACACAAAGGTACCGATGCCGGTGCCAGAGGCGCCAATGCCAGTGGCAAAGGTGCGCTTCTTGTCGAACCAAAAGGATATGGAGACGACAGCCGTCACATAGCCAATGCCCAGGCCCAAGCCGGAGATTAAGCCAAATGTCATCATAAGCATTTCAATGGAGTTGCAAATAGACGAGAGTGCTAATCCAAAGACGGACACCACACCGCCAAAGATGGTCATCTTGCGACAACCATACTTATCCACCAGATTGGACCAGACGGGACCCATGAGCAGGGGTACCGAAAAGAATAGCGAACCAATCCAGGCTGTCTTCGATGGGGACTCGCCAAAATAGTGTAAAAGCTCTGTGTTTATCAGACCATAGGAGAAAGACAGGCCATCAGCAATAAAGGAGATCACCAATGAGGCGAACACCACGACCCAACCATATCCGCCATCGGGCGCCTTCGGAAATGTATTTTTCATCGAAATCGAATCCGTGGCATCATCCGATCTCATTAATTGTTGCTGCCCGCTGTCGCTGCTCGTCAGGCAGTTTTTTGTGCTATTCCGGACGAATCGATTGGGAGTGCCGTAGTGCAGATTCTCGATCGATAGATGGGAGAATGTTATCTCTGGGAATAGATCGGGCTGGGCTAATTTATTTGGTGGCAGTGTGTCATATTTTTGACTGGGCACTCGATTGACGACGCTGCCACTCTGCTCTTGATTGTTGTCGCCTTGATTATTGTTGTTGTCGGCTGTGGCAGCAATATTGTTGTTGCTCTTACTGCTGGTTAACTTGGCCATTTCGAATGCAGTGGAACGTCAAATTCGTTGCACTTCACAAAAGTTATAATTTCAAGGGAATACTTTTGTATTTCTTCAATATTTATAAATAACTTTTAATTGAAACTGTCTGTTAAAACTCCTCAACATTGTGTTGACCAGGTTGTTTATTTTGCGAATAATTGAATTTATTACTATTTATTTATTATTTTATTTGCACACGTAACTGTTTAGTTGCACGATTGATTTGTTTTAACTAAGAATTAATCATTCAGAACAATTAAGTATTAATCACAGAACATAACAGACTATTACGAAGATTATGGCCATGCTGGAAAAATTCTTTATTAGCAGCTTGACATTGATTTAGAAAAGCTTCATGCATTTAATTTTGTAACAAATCGGACACGGTCTGGCTTTGTTTCATATTTTACTTTAAGTAAACAAATAAATATTAATTTTTTGGGTCGTAATATGATTAACAGAATGACTCCTAAAGAACTCTTATTAAAGAAGAATTAAAGAATGCTACGAAAACGAGTTTAAACTTAATATGTTGACAATTTTTATTTCGGAAATTTTATGCTAACGGTTGAGGGAGTGAAAAGGCGTTCAAATCTACTGAAAAGATAAATTGCAAAACTTTATGATTTATTTTACCCATGCAATAGAGCTTAAAGGAATGATCGGTGAGTTCTGCAATAACTTGCAATATTAATAAGCGCTATTTGGACAAATATATCTAAAGGAATTAGTATGCCTGAACAAAAGGAAACGATATGAGTGCTGTGTTTGTATTTGAAAAGGGAGAAATAATATGTCAATGGTACAATAGCTTTGGTGCCATTTCGAGTCTTCATCAATTACTTAAACTAATTTATTATTTATAATAAAAAGTTTCAGTAAATAATATTAATAAATACATTTTATAAACTACAAAAAAACATCAAAATATATGGGGATTGGAAACCAGATCGTAAAAGGACTACCCTTTTTGTTTTACTCTCCTATCTCAAAATCCCAGCTTTTTGGTTGAAAAAAATCTGAACATTTGTTAATTTTCAGACATTTTATTGAAAGAAAGTTTTCAAAACTGTTTGTAACTAAAATAGTAGGTTTTGTATAAAATCTTCTCATACTTATGAATAAGTTTCAATAATAATTTCTTTGTTTTTATACCCTGTATCCAAAGGGTGAAAGGGTATACTAGTTGGACACTCGACTGTAACCCTCACATCTTTTGTATGAAATTGTAGTTCGTTACCCAAAGCTGTGCCTTCAATTGTACGCTCTGCCGGCTCTGAGTGCCGGCTCTCAGCATTGGCGCTAACCCGTGTCCCCATTTTAATTGTACTTGGAACTGTCGACTTCTAAACGAATTTAGCATAATTAATTGCCGTGTCTCGTCGAAATGTGTGCAAATGGTGCGTCCGCAGCGCCACGGGGCCCCGACTGACGACTGACGACTGAGGACAGACGACTGACGACTGAGGACAGACGACTGACGACTGACGAATGATGAGTGGAACGACGACACGTTGCCTTCTCGACACCGCCAGCAATGCAGCAAATTCTTGCTCTTGTTTAAAACATAATGCCATTGCGCCACGCATTAGCCATGCAAGTGAGTGAGTGGCTTGTCGCCAGGGTGTTCTCATTAGCACTGCTCAAGTGCATTTCGCCCTCGGGGAACTATTTAGCAAACACAACAACAGCAGCAGCAACAACAAAGACTGCACCGACTTAAGGCAGAGAACAGTCAGTCAACGATGCATTTGTTCGCCCCAAGTGCGCAATATACTCGTAAATACGTATAAGAAACGACAACGGCTGGGTACCTCTGTAATTTTTTTTTTTGGTCTATTATTGTTTTGATTCGAGTGGAACCTATTTAGGGGTAGAGTTTGCTAAAGATAATGCGGCTTTTTCGACAATTTATAATTGCAAAAAGCAAGAAACTTAAATTTTTCTTTAATCTTAGGAATCGCATGCTCTCAGAACCCAACAATCATTTATTTTAGAATAAGATGTGCAAGATAGATAGTAAGGAAGATATATGTACTAAATCTATGGAACAGAAACCTATAATGTGGCCCAAAAGTTTTTGATATAATTTTCAAAATTTGTGTTAGAGCTATTTGACCAACTTAATGCCTTAACCAAATCATTTTATTTGTCGTAATTGTCCGGGTAAAATAGATTGTTACTCATTTTAATTCTAAGCAGTAATTATGAAGCAAGCCCCTCTGATTCTATAAAGCTTTTACATTCTTGATCCGTATGAATACAGACATCGCCCATATTAATCGAACCAGGTACGTAGACTCTTCTTATCTCTAATCGAGGTTATTTCATTTTTTATTCCTATCATGTACTAAGCTAATGTTATATTTAGGAATGTGTAGGAAGAGATTGACAAAAACAATATTTCGGTGACACTAACACGAGCTTTCAAATAATTTAATTTTTATTTATTTGCTTGAATACAAACAAAGCTAATGCTCTCTTTCTCTCTAAGTTCATTAAAAGGTTATCTAAATATTTCAAAATTTGGCTGTTTAGAATATAAGTTACCCAACAAACTATGAATCATGCGATAATTAAGCTTTTTACTGCGTTGGAATAGCTAAAATTAAAATTTTATGACAATTTATAAACAAAACACAAATTAAGTTACTCTCTAAACTATAAACTCTCTAAATGAGAGCGTAAAGTGGCTAGACATTTGATAAGCAGCACCTCTTGAATTGCTGACAAAATCGGAGCATGTGTGACCCGGAAGTGCGACACTGTTGTTCTCAATATCTTATCAATCGAAATAAAGCTTTTTTAAACAAACCCTCTTTCTATTTAAGTTGATGAAACAACTTAAGCAGAGCTCAGTGTTTCAACGACAGCGGAACTGTTGGCTACAAGCTCCTATCCGTAAACCGAAGTAAAATGGAAAAAGTTTAAGTGTTTATTTTCAATGGCAATGGCACAGAATCAATGGCAACGAATCGGTAAATCAAATATGCTAGAACATACATTATAAGCCTTTTAAAATGAATCTTTTTTCTTTGAATTGCAATTAAAAAGATTAGCGAAGCACTGTTTTATTATGATGTGCATTTAAAATTTGCTAAATTTTAACACATTTCGGGAAATGTATAATTCCAGTCTTGCCTATCTGACGTGGCGAAGGAGAACAAACGTGGAATCTACTGCTATCAACTTTATGAGCCCACAATAAAAAATGCTATCATTCTGGAAGTACAACTCAACCAAAAGATGATTCAAATTAACAGCGGAATTGGAAGAAATTATTTAAATAAATATACAATTCGTGTTGTATCGCGTTTGTCAGTTGGTGAAGTTTCTCCAAACCCAGCCAATGAGCCATTGGTTGGGTTTGGAGAAACTCCACCAACTGACAAACGCAGTGCAACACCAAATGAACATACAAAAAACAATGTACATGATTGGCTATACGACGGTTGAATACTCTCGATATGATAAGACGACTGGTCACACATTTGAATCCGTTGGAGCTTTTATATGGCAGAAATCAATTATTAAGCCAAAAGATAAAGATAACTTCAACTGGGAACGTAATTATGTAAAGGATCTGCGATAACTGTAAGTATTCAAACTGCCGTTTAGCTCAAAAGGTTGGATATTTTGCATGAGAACTATTGCATATACTCAGTATACAAGTATACCTAAAGCAATTAAGTAAATATAGTGCCTAAAAAGAAAGATTACCATTTCATGCCATATTTGTTTCTTTGTTTGTGTTTATTTCAACTGTGCAATAGTTGTTATTACAAATATTTAACTTTTATAATTGAGGGACATCGTAGTTTGACAATTTAAATTGTTTTAATATCATTATCTTTAGCAATCTCAACGATTATGTGGAGCACGATACTATAATGATGATCCAGCCAATGACCAAGCAATGATTGTAAATAATTGTTAAAAATATGACTTGCCTACCCAATGGTGTTGCAAATTCAGATAATTTCAATCTCTATTTAATTTAATTTGGAATATGGTCAGAGAATACATACAAAAAATGCTCTGACGTCATCGAAATGTTAATAGAACACATCTAGTGCCATTTAAGCTAAGAAAAGACTGAAGAGAAAAACGAGAGATATAGTCGGGAAGACTCAAATATTGAATATTCCGTAATTTTTTAGTTTTAAGCATCTTTTGGTTGAGTTTTACTTCCAGAACGATTGCCTTTTTTAATGTGGGCTCATAACGTTGAAAGCAGTAGGTTCCACATTTGCTCTCCTTCGCCACGAAATGTGTTAAAATTTAAATATTTAAATTAATATATGACTTTAAATAAGAAATGTACAATTATGTATTGCATTGCCATTCCTTTTAGATTAATAATGCAAAATAAAGCGACTCATCGTTATACATATACGCAAATTGATGAGACAAAGTGATTTGGACATGTCCTACCATCTGTCCTTCTGTTCGTTCAGTCTGGATGAGCATCAGGATTTTTAGACACGCAATATATTTAATGATTTCCATGCTTTCCAAGCTCAAATTGTATCTCAAATTGAATCCTGTGATCATTTTGGTTCTTTAAGTAAGACCCATTTCATTAAGTAAGAGTACTATCGATTGACAGAATTGACAGAATTGAAAAAATGCCTTTGAGTGACGATTGGCATCGTCACCGGCTCACAGACAAAATTCCAATGGGGAAGGTTTACAGTTTCTCCTTCGAGTGAGTAATTAAAACATTTTTCACTTTGCTTTTCTTTTGGCCCAACTCGCTGTTTTTCTTGTTTTTGTCTAGCGTGCTTTTTTTTAATAAGTTTCAGCTGCAGTTGCATAGAGCGTGTTTTCTTTTTTAAAATTGAAACCAAGGAGGCAAATGAGTGGCTGTCGCAAAAAGTTGGCCAAGCTATGAAACGAATGCGCTACATTCAAGATTGGAGTGTTGAGATGAATCTAAGTTATGGACATTGCTTGGATCACCTATGGATTGGACTCTGTTTTTACAATTACTTAAAGATATGTATTATTATTATTGTTTAGAAAGCAAATTTGTGAATAATATTAGGCGGGCTAGACCTTAAACTAATAAGAGAATTGTTATTTATGGTTATAAAATAAACTTCAACGGCAGATGAA